ACACATTATTATTCTTACTTTACAGATGGGGAAACTGAGGCTCCCAAAGATGAGAGGGGAGCTGATGCTTCTCTCTCCACCACCCATCCGCCTCCTCCCCCGCAGCGCTGTGTAGGCAACAGGCTGCTCGGTAAGCAGGTCGCATTCGCCAAGACTTCCAGATCACAGCAAAGGTGGCTGGGGATGCTGACTCAGCAGGGCGGGTTTGCCCACCCAGACAGCCCCTCCCGCTAAGCCAAAACGGCCCACTCGCCCAGCCCCTTCAGGAACTTCCCTCGCCACAGGGGCTGGAGGAAGCGGCTGGAGCAGATGCCAAAAGGGCGAGTGACCCTGAAGCGGTCTCAGTTTCCCCATCTGTAAAACGGGGCCGGTTGCCCGCAGTTCTCCAGTGCTGCGGTTTCCAGGGACCCACTCACTGACGCTCGCCCTGAACCTCCAGCCAGCGCCCGCAGCTGCAACCCACCCAGGAGCGAGGGGTGGGAGGGCTCTGCGGTCCCTTCCAAGTCCCCAGTCCGACCCCGATTCTCCTTTCCAGGAGGCAGCCCTGAGAAAGCAAAGGTCGCTTCAGCAGCCCCCCTGGGTCACCTGCTTCCCCGAAGCCGTCATCCTCGCCTTCCACGCCCGCCTCCGCCGGCATGCCCAGGTCCCCGTTGGGGCCCGACATTGCGGGCTCCGGCGCCGCGAGGGCAGCACGACGACGGAACGGGAGAGCCGGCGCCGGGCGGAAGGTGGCGGCGCCGGATGGAACTCTGGGCCGGAAGAGTGGCACGGCACGGCGGAACGGGGCCCGGCACCCGCGGCCCGCCCCCAAGGCCGGAAAGGCGCGGCCCAAGCTCCGCCCCCACCCCGCCCCGCCGCCAGAACTCCTCCCCTGCCCGCCGTCAGACTCCGCCCTCGCGTCCCGCCCACACCCTGCCTCACAGTCGAGCTCTGAGCCCCGCCCCTCTCCAGGCCGCCGGGCGTGGCTATCCGGGCTGCTGGCTGAGGAGCCTAGGTGGTGGGGGCGCAGGCCCTCAGCTAGGGCGAGCGAGCCCGGCCGAGGGGTGGGGGCAGCCTCCACTGTGCCCTTCCTGCCGGTGGGGACCTGCGAGTTCCTGAGCCGGAGCCTCCGCGTGGGCAAATTCTGAGACGCGTGACTTCTTTTTTTTTTTTTAATTTTTTTTTTTCCAACGTTTATTTTTGGGACAGAGAGAGACAGAGCATGAACGGGCGAGGGGCAGAGAGAGAGGGAGACACAGAATCGGAAACATGCTCCAGGCTCTGAGCCATCAGCCCAGAGCCCGACGCGGGGCTCGAACTCGCGGGGCTCGAACTCACGGACCGCGAGATCGTGACCTGAAGTCGGACGCTTAACCGACTGCGCCACCCAGGCGCCCCTGAGACGCGTGACTTCTAAGGCTCCCTATGGCTTCAGAAGATAAGCGTTCACAGCCTCAGCGAGAGTCAGGGTCTGGGTTGGCACAGGGCTGCGTGCGGCTTCGGGATAAGGTTGGCCATCATCCCCCACCCCTTTTTTACCAGCTGAGAAAGGGAGGCATGCCGAAAGTCACCCACCAAGCAACTGTCGCTCCTGAGCTGGACCCAGCTCAGCTGGACCCAGTGTGATCCTGGCCAGGGGTCCAGCTGAGCCAGACCCGTGTTCCAGGCGAGAGGGGACTGGGACTCTGCCAGGAGGCCCTATGGAAGCAGCAGCCCGGTCCTGGGCTCACACCGGTAGTTCCTGTGGGCAGGACATCTTGGGCTAGGAGTTAGGCTTGTCCATCTGGAGACTCCACCTTCAGCCTGGCGCTGGTTGTCGGAGCAACCGGACTGTCACTGCTTTCCATTGTTGAGCCTGCGATGTCGGGCCCCAACGGGGACCTGGATATGTCCCAAATGATGACAACGGGGAGGGATCTTCTCTGTCCCAGAAGCTGCCCGGTCATTTCACCTGAGGAAGGTAGAGGTGAGGTTGAGTCCACCGCCTGCAATCAGAGCCACCACGGACTTGCACTCTTGGCACCCTTGCCTTCTCCCTGAACCGGCTTGAGTGGAGGTGAGGCCTGCATTCAACCAGTGGGCAGGGCTGAGAAAGAGGGCTGGGCATCCGCCTTTGGCTGAGGGGTTAGAGGTCCTCCGTAGGATCAAGCATTTCACCGACCAAGAGAGCAGAGCCCCAGGTGCCCTGCCTGGCATAGAAACACCTGTATCTTCATGTGGCACGCAGGTCTGCAGAGACATGGCAGAAACACAGATCACACACGTGGACATGCTGACATAATCCAAACACATTTATCCTTGTAAGCATGAGACAGCCAAAGAAAACCACGGGCACATGTTTTTCCCTCAGTTTGAAACCACGCCTGGGATCACAGGTCCTGACTCTATGTGTGAGCCCACAGACCAGGGGAGAAGCATGCTGAATCCAGGGCACATGGGATGGGCTAAAAAACCCAGAGAGACAGGCAGTTTCTGAGAAACGCGCCAAGGCACGCGCAGGTACACCTACTACGCGGATGCAGCAGGTGGCTGTAAATGCGCATGCGTGGAGCCTGCACGGGGTCGCATGAGGCCCAAGTCCACCCACCTCCAAGGGCAAGTGAGGGCTCCTGGTTGGAGGCTGCTGTGGTCCCAGGGAGGGCCTGTTCCTTTGCCCACTTCACTCCTGTGGTTAAGGCCCATTAACCGGACCACAGGACAAAACAGCCACCAGCTCCCTCCAGCGCTGATGGGGGAACGCCGTGTGCAGGGGTGCTGCCCTGCTTCTGGGATACCTGTTCACCTCTGTCTCCCTAGCCCACAAGCCCTGCCATCATTCCCCCTCTAAGCCCACTGTGGTGGTCCACCCTCAAAGATACTCGGATCTTAATCCTGAGAACCTGAGAGCAGTACCTTATGTGGAAAAAGGGCCTGTACAGATGTGATCACATGAAGCGTTTTTATTTATTTATTTATTTATTTATTTAATTTTTTAAGTTTATTTACTTTGAGAGAGAGCATGAGCCAGGGAGGGGCAGAGAGAGGGAGACAGAGACAGAGACAGAGAAGCCCAAGGAGGCTCCACTCTGCCAGTGCAGAGCCCAATGTGGGGCTCGAACCCATGTACTGTGAGATCATGACCTGAACTGAAACCAAGAGTTGGGCGTTTAACCGACTGAGCCACCCAGGTGCCCCTACATGACGTGTTTTGAGAGGGGGAGATTACCCTGGATTAGCCAGGTGGGCCCAAAATGTAATCATAAGTGTCCCTATAAAGAGGGAGTTCAAGGGAAATTTGCAGACAAGAGAGAAGGCCATGTGATGACATCACCAGAGAGAGAGAGAGAGAGATTTGGAGATGCCACACTGCTGTCTTTAAGGAAGACAGACCCCCAAGTTAAAGAAGGACAGGGGCGCCTGGGTGGCGCAGTCGGTTAAGCGTCCGACTTCAGCCAGGTCACGATCTCGCGGTCTGTGAGTTTGAGCCCCGCGTCAGGCTCTGGGCTGATGGCTCGGAGCCTGGAGCCTGTTTCCGATGCTGTGTCTCCCTCTCTCTCTGCCCCTCCCCCGTTCATGCTCTGTCTCTCTCTGTCCCAAAAATAGATAAAAAACGTTGAAAAAAAAAAAAAAAAAAATAAAAAAGAAGGAGATTCTCCCCAGAGCCTCTGGAGGAAGTGCCGCCCCGCTGAGGCTTTGATTTTAGCTAGTGAAAGTGATTTCAGACTTGGGACCTCTAGAACTGTAACAGAACAAATGCGTGTTGTCTTGAGCTGCCAGTGTGTGATAACTTACAGCAGCAATAGGAAACCAATAAAATCCAGTGACTCCAGGAAGAAACACAAAGCCCATTTGCGTCCTAAGAATTTGATCCTGGAAGACCCAGGAGGCTCCGAATGGTGGCAGGAAGCTGTATGCTTGGGCCAAGGCAAAGAAACTGGCTGTTGCCCAAAGTGGAGCCCAAGCCCCGGGCATGCTGGGTGCACCTGCCGCCCCCTCGGCCAGCTAGTGGCGTTCTAGCCAGCAGTCCCTTGGGTGCCCTTCTGTGTCTCTGGACTTGGGCAGAGCCTCCATCCGTCCCTCAACCCAGGCTGCAGCAAGCTGGTCTCTTCCTGGATCTGACCCAGACTCCTGAGGCTGTAGCAGTCAACCCTGTCCTGCCCCCTGGAGGCTGAGGCCAGCACTGCTCAGAGCTCCAGTTACCTCCCCACTCCCCCAACCCAAGGGTGAAGGGGTAAGTATGCAAGTCTGTGGGGTGGATAAGCCTGGGTTTCTTCAGAGCCTCGCCCCCTCCAGCCTCTGACCTTGCAAGGGGAGAAGAGACCAGGGAGGGGGTTCACACAGAGGGGTGGACAGAGGCTGGTCAGGCCCCAGACACAGGCCCGGCCAAATGAGGGGTATAAGGCTGGAACCCTTGAGTCTTCTAGAATCTGGATTCCTGGCAGCATATTCATTTTCATCCTTGCCTCCCCTGGCCTTGCCCCAGGTTCTCCAGAGGTCCTCATGGTGGAGGGATGTGGGTGAGGGGCAGCACTCAGAATGTGGTCGGCATGGACACTGCCACCCAGCAGTGGGCCCATAGGGGGCTGGCAGAGGGAAAGGGACCACCTCTGGTGACACTCTGTGTCTGGCATGGTATCCAGCTGGGCAACCTTCTGCCTCACCCACTGTGCACCCCTCTATTGCAATCTTCCAGCATCCACGGGGTCCTGATAAGGTAGGGGTGACGGCACCTCAGCCCTCCAACCCTCTCCAGCTCCCTGGGCCTGGGCCTCTGCCATTGGACCTGCTTCAGGTGGCTGGACATGAGTGTGAGATGTGCCCCCTCAGTGTCCTGGGAGGCAGGGGCAAGTGAGGGCAGCTGCTGGTCTGGGGCCGGGCCTGGGGTTGGAGCCAGGAGTGTTTAGTCAGAGCTGGACTCTGCTTCTGTGGCCTTCATCCCTTCCAGGGGACCACAGTTCCTGGGAGGGATGCTAATAGGAGCCTGCCTTTTGCTCTTTATCCCCCTCAAAGGGCCCAGAAGTCAAGGAGCACAGACTTGGGACTGGGGGGCATGTGTTTATTAGCAACAAGGAGGGGTTCTGTGAATAGGGCAGCCTGGGAAGCAGCTGGTGAGCTGTGCAGTGAGAAGGGTCCCCTGGCTCTCTCACTGGTCCAGGCTGGTGGGGACAGCTGGGCGGTGCCCTGGGCAGAGATTGGCGAGAGGGGGATGGGGTGGAGAGAGCCCGAGGGCACCTGAGAGGGCGTCAAGGGAATAGAGAGGGCAGCAGTGCTGGGCAGGTGGGACAAAGGCAGACCTGGAACCCCCTCCCAGCTGCACCCTGGCTCCCATCAGCCCCCTCTGTAGCCATACTTACCGCACACTTGCTCACTTATATATGCACTCATCTGTGGGGGACAGAGTGGTCAGCATGGGCAGGGGTGTGGGGGGGATCCCTGACCTCCAGGGCCCCTGCACTGCCCCTGGGCTACCCTGGGCCTCAGCCTGGTCCAGCCACAGAAGCTCCGGGGCTCCTTTCATAGATGGTACAGAAGAGGGTTGGAAGATGGGGCAGGGGACTGGAGGAGAGGCCTGAGGACAAGCAGACCTGGGTGACACCCGTTCTCCAAAGGAGGCAGGTGAGGCCCAGCCACACTCCTGTTTGGGCGCCAAGCCTTCTGCCTGTTTACCTGCTGAGTCCTGACAGACCCTCAGGCTTTGGGAGGCACCTGCCTAGGCCAGGCAGCCTGAAGACAAGGGCACCTCCTAGGTCAGTGGTGAGCCAGTCCCAGGGCAAAGGGGGAGGTGGCCAGGCAAGGAGACTGAGGAAGCTTCGCCCCATGCCTGCAATTCTCGTGTGGGCAGGCCCGAGCGAGGGTGAGGGAGGAGCACTAGGGGCCCAGAACCCTGATTGTGGCAGGGTCTTCCTGAACCTGAAGTGGCTTCTGGGCCTCCAGTGACCACAGCAGGGCTCTGCCTCCCTCCTCTCCCCCGTTCCTTAGTGAAGCAACATCAGGCCTGGACAGTCCCCATGGGCCCTTCTCCTCTCCCCAGCTGGTGATTACCGTTGGGGATTGGGAAGATGATGTGGTCATCGGTGAGGCCCAGGGCTTTGGCAAAGCTGATGAAGTTTTCCTTCAGCTCCTGGGTCAGCTCCTTGGTCCTCCCTGTGGCCAAGATGGCTGGTGAGTGGCTGGCGGAAGCTCCATGAATATTGTGGAACCCGTGAATGATGCCTCAGACCCCTCCCTCCTGAGGGGTCTGTGGAAAGACCTCTCTCCCGCCTCCCAGGGCTCAGAGTGAAGGGGACCTTGGGGGCTGGGTGTCGTGGGCCTCTTCTCCCCCAGCACGAACAAGAGCCGGGTCCCAGGGGGTAAGACCCACCATAGAGGGTGACCATGAAGAACTCCTGGTTTTTGTAAGCTTTCTTGAAGAAAATCATGGCAACCTGGTTGTAGTCTGTGGCCACGACTTGTACAGTGTAACTCTGGATTCCAGGGTAACCTGCATGGTGGACAGTGAGGGATCAGCCCTCCCGGCAGAGGGAGCTGTTGTTTCCTCCCCTGGTACCACAGGATGGTGTCTGTGTGGAGGGGCAGGGAGGTCCTTGCCCGTGGAGACCTACTGCACTCAGGACTCACGCTCAATGTTGCCCAGGTTGAATTGGCCTGGCTGGAAACTTGGGATGAAAGTTGTGATCCAGTGGTCACAGCGCTGGATCCTGTGGAAGCAAGAGGTGGGTGGGTAAGAGGGTGACAGCCCACCCTGCCACAGCAGGAGGCCTGCACGCCACCCCTCAGATGGGCCTGTCTCTTCCCCGCTGAGCCCATCCCTGCCTGTCCCTGCCTCCTCTGCCCTCAGCCACCTGAACTGCTCAGACTCTCCCTCTGCATCTACTGTCTTCCTTCTTCGAGGCTGTTTCCCCTTGGTGGCCTTCCCTCCATACTGTCCCCTTCACCCGCAGCATTTGTCTCCTAATTTTTTTTTAATTTTTAAAATGTTCATTAATTTTTGAGACAGAGAGAGAGAGAGAGAGAGAGAGAGAGAGAGAGAGCGAGCCTGAGTGGGAGAGGGGGGAGAGAGAGAGGGAGACACAGAATGCAAATCAGGTTCCAGGCTATGAACTGTCAGCACAGAGCCCTACACGGGGCTCAAACTCAAAACTGTGAGATCATAACCTGAGACAAAGTCAGAGGCTTACCCGACTGAGCCACCCAGGGGTCCCCTATGCCCTATGCCTATCTTATGGCTTCCTGCTATAACCTCTCCTGGGGGAATCAACAGAGGCTCCAGTCTGCTGGATGCCAAAGACTCCCTTAGCTGCTGGGCCAACCCTGACCTCTCACCTGCATCCCATCTGGTCCCCTGGCACTCCAGAGCCGATCTCCCAACACCTGCCCTTCTTCGGATTCTTCAATGACAGATGCTCTAGCCCCATCCCCAAGTGCCAGAGCCAGAAACCCAGAGGAGCTGGGTAAGCCTTGCCTCCCCTCTCTAGGTCCTAATCTGCCCCCGCTCTGGTCATCTCCCACCTACGACTGATCAGCCTCCTGGGCTGCACACCATCATTCCTCTCTCTGCTACAGCCACACCTGCTCTTCACCAGTACCTGAGGCTCCTGCCAGGGTGGCCACCCCCCCCCCCCTCCAGACTGCTCATCAGCTCCTGCTCACGGCGGCCATGAGATGGCTTGCTATTTCTTGAAGAAGTGGCTCTCTCTGACTCAGTCCAGCAGCCCTGCCATAAAGGTCCCAGGTCTCCCGACGCAAGTTGGTTTCTCAAGGCCCAGCCCACAGACCACCTCCCTGGAAGCCCTGGACAAAGCTCAAGGTAGGATTCCAGGCTGGATCCACCAACCCTCCTCCCATTCTAGGACACTCCGAGCTCTCTTTGTCTTGTCACTGATGACCGCTTTTGTCCAACCCCAGTACTGTTTTGTGTCTGTGCTGAAATGACCAAGAAATGTTGATTTAGTAAATGAAAGAAGGAATAAATATAGGGATCCAGTACCCAGCGGTAGGATGAATTATCATCTTTCAGCTATGGCCAGCCCTCGGCTATGACATCAGTCTGCCTCTTAGACCCCCACGGCAGCCCTCTGGGCCCCCCATGTTCCCCTAGGAGGTGATGGATCTTACCAGGGCAGGACAAAGGTGACATTGTAGCTGTTGTCTTCGTTCAGCTCGTAGGTGATGGTGTACATCTTCAATTGGCTGTGTTTTTCTTTATGAATTTCCTTCCCTGCCAGTCCCAAGATGTACCATTTCCCCTGGAACTACAATGGGAGCTGATAATAGGCAGAGCCAGGAGCAGCCCCAGGGGGCCCTCCTGCTCCATCCCTGCAAGCACCTCTAGGCAGCCTGGGCCTCAACCAGAAGCCCCTCTAGGCTGCTGGGACCCAGCTGGCCACACAGGCTGGGCTGATGAGCCTGGCAGGAGCTGGAGACCATCAGGCCAGGCGGGAGCCCTGAGTGTGTCAGGGACAGGGTGACACTTGGCAAGTGGCCAGCTGGCTTCCCTGAGCCTCAGTTTCCTCATCATGTAGAGGGCCTGAAGATGTTCCCACCTTGCAAGGACTACAGGGATTATGGAAGAGAGTGTAGACCAGGGGAGTCTGCTCAGCTGACCCTCTTGTCAGCAAGGTTGGGTGGGGATGGGAGCATGGGGTGTGCCTTCCATCAGGGCACCCGAGAGCAGATGGAGCTAAAGCCTGAGCCCATCCTGCCTCTCCTCCCCTCTGTTTACACTCTTCCCAGGGCCTCCCTGCACCTAGCCCTCCCAGGCCCCTTACCAGCTCATTTTGGAAGTCAGGTTGCAGAGGGACCCTGTGCAGAGGCGGGGTTGGGATCAGGTTTGGGGTGGAATCCTGGGCCTGGGTCTGCAGGGCCCCTAGCAGGACAAGGCCCAGCCACAGGAGACCTAGGGCCATGACTTCAGGGCTGAGGAAGCTGGCACCACTCCAGATATTCCCTGAAAGAGGAGATGAATGAAGAGCCTTCTGGGGGATGCTATTTATGGTCTCTGTGGCCAATGGCTCACCCCAGGGTGGAGCGACTTATCCTTTGCCAAATCCTGGAAGGGTGAGACAATTGCCAGCAACTCATGCTGAAGATCATGGCAAGCTCTCTGCTCTTTCCTCCAGGTCAGGATTATGCAAGATGAGGGGCCATAAGGTCTGGGAGATGAGAGGGTGCATTCCCCATATCTCCACATCTCTGGCGGGGACTCTCTTCACAGTCTCTTCCCCCTGGTTATCACTGTGTGTGGTCATGGGTCTCTGATCTGGACCAGCTGTCATCTCTGACCTCTAGAAGCCTCTCAGCTGGGGCCTAGGTGCCTGGTGGATTAAGTGTGGTGGGGCCCCCTTCCTGTACCTGATGAAAACAGAGAATGCCTCGCATCAACAGAGCCCATGATGCTTGCGGTTCTCCAAAGGGGGGAAGGGAAGGGAAGGGTAGGGAATGGGAGATAGTTGAAAGAGGACATTCCTGGTAGGGAAGGACAGAGTGTGCCCTGTGCTGCTCATGGAGCCCAGATCCTGGCCCTCCCAGGTACCCACCCCAGGCCCTGGCACCCTTCCCCTCCCCTCCCCAGAGAAGGCCTGCTGGGGAGTGCTCCTGATGAGGGAGCATAAGGCAAGCTGAGGGCAGAGCACATGGTAACATGCTCCCCGAGCCGGAGGTGGGATCTGTGTGACATTCCTCAGGCACTCCTGGCTGCCCAAGAACAAAGGAAAGGAAAGAAAACAAAGAGTTAAGTGATAGAAATCACAATCCTCCATCAGTTTACCTATATCCTAGAAAATTAGGAGGAAAAGGTGATCTTATCAATAGCCTATCTCTAGCATCCTATACTCAGTTTCCTGGAGCCCAAATATCACCTACCTCCCTAGTGATATGGGGAACAAAGGCAAGAAGGAAAAGTCAGATGGCATTAAATTTCATTATGACCTGCAGCCCATTGACAAATACTTGAAGTGCATATTGAGTATAACATTTCTCCAGGAATTCCCTATAGTCTGAATGTTAATGCTTTGCTAGAGGAGAAAACAACCTTAGCTTGACAACAGCTAGGCCTCCAGTAATGTGGGAGTCTACTTGAGCATATAAAAAATCCCTTTAGAAAATTCCTCTTGACTTTATCTCCCCCAACCCCATGGTATATAACCAGTCACTCTTCACAACCCCAGTGCAGCTCTTTCTGCCCAAAAATCCTGTCCCTGTGAATTAACAAAATCATCTTTTTTGCACCAAAGATGTCTCTAGAATTCATTCTTGGTTGTGAGCTCTGAACCCCACCATTCCAAAGCCCCATCGTTCCCTTCTTGAGTCAGCCCCTCCCCCTCATCCATGCCCCATTGGCAGGGTGGGCCCAGACCTCAGATGGCCCCTCAGGAACTTGGCCCCTCCTGTGGGCCCAGTGGTCAGAAACCCGAAGCTGGGCATGCCAGCCACAAATGAGACAGCTTGACATAGCAGAGCTCTGAGGCTACAGTCTCAGCTTCATCCTGGTGGGGGACAATGGGGGACATGCATCCTCACTGTGTGAAAAGGGGTCAGGGGCTAGGGCCCAAGGGGGGCTCTCTACCCTGCTGCTTTGTACACTGAGTGATTTGGGTCACAGTGAATGCGAGGACTCAGCCTCATTCTTGAGAGATCACGGATACCATCTGCTCTCTCTGGCCAGTCTTGGGGTGTGGAGTCCAGGGGCCTAGGCCTGGGCCCCCAGAAGTGTTCCTGCCATGGCTGATCCCAGCTTTGTCCTGGAGGGAAGTAGTTTCTTCATGGAGGCTTGGCTGTCCGTGGGAGGCAGTGATGGGTCCCAGCCCTCTGGTAGTGTCTCCTAGATGTCACCACATGGGCCAGGGCTGACAGAAAGCCTGACCTGAGGCTGTCCTGAGGCCTCACTGGCTGCAGATGAGACTCCTGGAGACCTCACGGGCTTTCCACCTGCTACAGGGGAATCAGCTCCCCTAGCCTGGGCTTTGGGTGGTGGGCCCTGAAAGAGAGACTCTGGGTGAAGAGGGAGCATAAGGCAAGCTGAAGGCAATGTACAAGTTAGAACCTCCCCCCTCCCCACAAAAAGGTGGGATACGTGTGATATTCCTCTGGCTGCCCAAGAACAAAGGAAAGGAAAGAAAATAAATGGTTAATGATAGTGATCACAGTCATGCAGGACATGAATCTCCATCAGTTTACAAATATCTTAGTAAATTATAAGAAAAAGGCAATCTTATCAATAGTCTAGTCTCCAGAAGCCTATAGACTCAGTTTCCTGGAGCCCCTATTAAGACCCTAACCTCCATGCTGATGTGGGGAAGAAAGGCAAGAAAGAAATGGCAGATAAAATTAAATTTCTGATACCCTGCAGACCAGTGACAAATCCTTGAGGCAAATACCAAGTACAACAATGTCTCCAGGAACCCCTACCATTCCTAATATTAATGCCTTACTAGAGGTAAAACAACTTTAGCTTGACAATAGCAAGGCCTCAGGTAGATTAGGAGTCCTCTTTAGCATATCAAAGTCCTTCTGGAGGCCTCCCTTCCTTTTGACTTTACTTCCCCAAAATTCCTAGTATATAACCAGTCACTCTTCACAACACCAATGAAACTCTTTCTGCCCACAGGTCCTGTCCCCGCGATTTAATGAAATCACTTATTTTGCATCAAAGATGTCTTCAAGAATTCTTTCTTGGCTGTCAGCTCTATAATATGCGCCCCGCCCAGCCTCATCATTTGGCGCCTATATGGGGTTGTGAGTCTTTTCATCTGGACTCTGAGCTTCGGTGCAAATGTGGTGAGTGTTTCTCTTCCTTTACTCATATTTCAGAGGCTTTTCAAGGAGTCTGGTCTTATTAGAACACTTTCCCTGTAGCCTGTGGCTTCTCTATGGGGAGGAGAAAGCCTGCCTTTTGGCTGGAAGTGAGTCCCCAGGCAGGAATGGTAAAAATACCCAGAAACTTGTGCCCTCTCATTCTTCCTGTCCTTATATATTGTTGTCTGTCGTGGGGATGGAACAGACATCTGTATGACTAGCATGGATTCCAATCTTTAGAATATGGCAGAAGTTTCCTCCTCATTGGTCTAATGTGATCCCCTTCACATCCATGGTCTAGTCACTTATGGCTGCGGGACCTCTTCTGTTGCTGGTGAAACCAGTACCTGATTGAATTAAAATGTTCCCCAGCCAGGAACTATTTCCTAGGAAGTTGGAATGTAAAGACTATATGTGTTGGAATGTCACTTGGATCATGATGGGTTTCTGTCTTCACTGTTTTGGGTCAATGTCTTCTGCAAACTACTACTTAAATGACAAAATTGGGCAATTCCCGCTTGTAAAACTTTCCCAGTATTTTCCATGGGTTAAACACGGTGTTTTCTTCAGCCTTCTCAGCAAGGCAAAGTAGGTCCATCTGCCTGCGCCTATTTGTAGCCTAGGATACCATGGGAAATCGGAGGGATGCCGGCATCCCTCCCACAGAGGCCCTTAGGGGCTGGTTGGTGATCATAGCAATTTTGTTTGAAGTTCGCCTCGGGTCACTTTGACACCTCAGGGACCTCTGATATATCCTGCGTGTGGGACACCACCTGGGAGTTGGGGGGGATTTTCATGGCAATGGACTTTTTCTACTTTTCTCTCTCTAGGAGGAGGATGGGACCTTCTTCTCAGTCCCCAAGGACTCTCCCTTGGGATGCCTCTTCAACCTGCTAGAAACAATTTGGATTGCAAACTTTAGGAAAGAGGTGATGTCATGTAACACTGCGTGGCCTTAGTAAGTTCTAGCAGTTAGATCTCTTCTGCAGGAAACAAGGTCTATGGATGGAGGCACCCTAGGTCCAGGCCTTCACAGCTCTAAGTGAGGACCTGGGCCAAAAGGCCTGTTGCAGAATATATTTGCTCTAACGTGTTTGGCTAGTAAACTCCCTCCTGACATAGCGGATGTCCTAACAGGCCTCCTCTTGATGGAACACAGTTGCTAGAGGAAACATAGACCATCCCTGACAAAGGGGATGCTGACTCTTTCTCTCTGTTCCTCCTCCTAATAGATGTGGGGACCTTTCCCTCATTCATGTCCCGTGTTAATGGCTTTAATTGGAGCCAACTATGGGTAGTCTACCTTGGCACATGGACTTTAAAGAATATTCCCAAACTCCATTTGCTTCAGGGAAATTCCCTGTCTTCTCTAGCCTGACATAGACTCCTTATTTCCACTTTGGTGGAAAACAAACAAACAAACAAACAAACATGGGGTCTCCTCTTTCCCGGTGACAAGGTTTAGAACCAGGAATCCTCTCTGCCTTCTGGCACTTCCATTCTTCTGCCTGCTTCTCCCCCTCCTGTTTCTGCATCATCTTCCATACAACCTACATAACTGGCTTCTATACCATCCTCTACCCTCGATGTCAAGGAGTGATGAGCACCCCCTTGAATCGCCCACTTCAGATTCCCCCATTGGTGTCCCAGGTAAAAGTTGACAATGGGGAACAAATTGATCATCCTTTAAGTGAATGCAGGTGGAACGTGTTTGGTGTTTAAGCTTATTTAAGTTTGTTGGTTTAACTATGACAGACATGTATTTGGAGTTTTCAGCATTAAATATGAAACTTTTATTCTATCAAGGTTTCCTAAAGGTCAAAGAAGCTCATGTTGTCTCTGTTGCAATTTGTCAGCAAAAAGATGACTTAAAAAAAATGGTTAATTTTGTGTACCTCAAAGTTTTCACAGATAATTCTTAAGAGAGCTTTCAAAGTATTTCACAATCTGAAACTTGGATAAATGGGATTGAATTTATTGCATATCTAGGTCTTTTCCAAGATTACTGAAGCATTGATTACTGAATATAGGTTTGTGCTTTTGACTCCTTATTGCAGAGAAACTAAGAAAATCTGGGTCTATTGGAAAACATGGTTTGTGATTCATTGACTCATGAATTTGCCATCTAAGGAATTCTGGTGTAACAGTTTATGATTGGTCACTAAGTTTTTATTAGAGACTAAGTTTTCTAAGAGTTAAAATTCTTCTAAGTGTACTTAAAATGGATGGAAATAAGGAAAGCAACTCTGTATGTAGGAAAGTGGGAGATATGTAAGAAAGATAAAGAATGGAAATACATTTTTCGTTGTTGAGGGTACAAGATAGTAATTTTGTCCCAAATGAGACTGGTTGTTTCAAGAAGAATGGTTTGGGCCAAAATTTGAAGGCAAAGGAAAGTTGTAGAAGGTTCATGAAAAGAATCTTTGGAAAGGAATTTTTTTTTAATTTTTTTTTTAATTTTATTTTATTTTTGAGACAGAGAGAGACAAGCATGAGCAGGGGAGGGGCAGAGAGAGAGCGAGACACAGAATCTGAAGCAGGCTCCAGGCTCTGAGCTGTCAGCACAGAGCCTGACGCAGGGCTCAGACTCACGAACTGCGAGATCATGACCTGAGCCGAAGTCGAACGCTGAACCGACTGAGCCACCCAGACGCCCCTGGAGAGGAATTTTATGCGTGGTCAGGATGGACTAAGGTTGAGATGAATGGATTTTATTTTTTTATTTATTAAAAAAATTTTTTTAATGTTTATTTATATTTGAGAGAGAAAGCACAAGCAGGGGAGGGGCAGAGAGAGAGAGGGAGACACGGAATCCAAAACAGGCTCCAGGCTCTGAGCTATCAGCACAGAGCCTGATACGGGGCTCAAACTCACAAACTGTAAGATCATGACCTGAGCTGAAGTTGGACGCTTAACCAACTGAGCCACCCAGCTGCCCAGAGATGAATGGATTTTAAAAGTACATGGGCCTAAGGTTGATATGCTGCTTTTCTCTGTTTTCAAAAGACAAAGTTTTCTGGCATTGTTGATCTGCTCTTGATAAGAAAATGTAAACAAATGTTTTTTTCTCTTTGTCTACTGGGAAGACGAAAGCTTTAGGTTTCCTCTTGATCAAGTCTTTGATTACTTAAGGTTAAAACTTCTCAATGGTAAAGGAGTTAGGTTTTGCTAACAACTATACAGTGCTACATATTTGCCTTTGGAATCTCTTATTGCCATCTTGGTTAAATAAATAAAGTTTTAAGATTTGTAATGATCTGTAATCCTATTTAGAATGTGCTGTATAACTTTCTAAGGTTTTAACAAACTTTCCCAAGATTTTGACCAATTAGACCTTTTTATTTGGTATGCTAAATTACTTGGAAAAGCACTGTCAAATAATGGTAAACCTTAGTTGTATTGCATGGCTAAATGCTGTAACTGCTCAAATATATATATACAATTCCTAAAGTTTTAATGTTTTGGTATAAGGTCCTCCCTTGATATTCTGATTATTGAAGTGTTATGGGTTACAGAAATAACTGTTTCCTTGTCAATCGCATCATCGTGAACTCTCATCAGATCTTTAACAATGTCCATTTCTGAGATCTTGTCATTTTTAATTGTTCTTGCTCTCCCACAAAATGTATTTCATCTTCAAGGAGATTCCTAAAAAGGACTTTTAGGAGAAATACAGGTATTCGACATCTTTAAGATTAAGCTAAAACGGGAAAGAATTTCCAGAACTAAAAAGCTTCGTTCAAACTGAACAAGCATTAGGAACATGGCACTAACTAAACTGAGGAAGATTATAGTTTTTGTGACTCTTGTTTGAAATATTGCTGGTTCTGTGATGTTTCCTCTTCTGGATCAAGGGAATTTTCTCTTAAGATATCTATAATGTACAGAGATGTCATGAAGTTTTCATTTGGAAACTGAAACATTTAACTTTTCTCTCTCCCTAAACCCTCTGAAATTCAACCACTCTCAGTGAGTCTTCTTTCTTTCATGGCAATTACAGATATTTGCATAAGTACAGTAAGATTATTCTTGTAACAGGACACCTTTGGAAATACTGGTTGTTTTGCCAACGCTTTGACTGGAATGTCCTATTTGAGAGAAATGCATAGACCCTGATATGACCAAATGGCTTTAGGGAACTAAGGTTGACTTTATGAAACATGGAGCCATAAACCCCTTGAAAACGTTGGTCAGGGGCGCCTGGGTGGCTCAGTCAGTTGGGCGTCCGACTTGGGCTCAGGTCATGATCTCGCGGTCCGTGAGTTTGAGCCCCGCGTGGGGCTCTGTGCTGACAGCTCAGAGCCTGGAGCCTGTTTCGGATTCTGTGTCTCCCTCTCTCTCTGACCTTCCCCCATTCATGCTCTGTCTCTCTCTGTCTCAAATGAGTAAACGTTAACAAAAAAAAAATTAAAAAAAGAAAAGAAAAGAAAAGAAAACGTTGGTCAGATACCTTGCTCAGAGAATTCCCAGCAGCTTTACTGCGTGAGTAAAGAATGTCACTTCTGGGCAGGTACAGGGAACTCAGGATATCTTGGGGACCTTGTGGAGAGAAATTTGCCCAAATCTACAAGTATTGCAGGCCTGTGTGATGCAAGTACTTGGCTTGGCTTCTGGTCTGGAGAGGCCAATCAGTTCAGTCTCCAGTTCAACCTGGAGATTCCTTATAACAGGTTCCAGCAAAGCAAACTTTAAAAGATCCTTAAGATCAATCACTATTCTAGCTGAGCTTATGTAAATCATTAGGCCAAATTTGTTAAAACTGGACTTAATTTGCAAACGAATTAGTCTTGATTTGGCCATCTCTGGAAATGAGGGTTTTTAGACAGAAAAACTGTTTCTATAATGCAGCTCTCTGGACGTTAAATTCTAGTTCTGATTGTTTTTAGATGTTTGCTGTTTGTCTAAACTAGACACCTTGAGGTAAACTTCAGAAAAATTGTCACAATATTTCATGTATAGAAAAATATTCTGCTTGTTATTCAGTGGAGATAATAATAAATCCCTGTGAGCATAGTTAAAAAGCTGGAAAATGGGATGGATTCCCCCAACAATTGTATGCACAGACTTTTCTCACTATAGACCTATGAGTAGATAAAGACTATAGTGCTTTACTATTCACTGGAGGCCAGGTTAATTCCTAAATATCTAAATATGCCAACCATATCCTCCCTCCACCTGATCTGACAGTTACTAGAAATCCACCCCATATAAACCCAAAAGACCTGGTTTATTTAAAGGATGGAAAGTCTAATACAACAGGGGATTTAACTCCAAAATGGAAGGGTTCCTACTGGGTCTATTATGTACTCCCACTGCAATAAAGTTAGAGGGGCACACTTCGTGGGCTCCTGTATCTGAAATAAAACCTGTACCCCCCCTCACAGGAATTCAATGAGCAAACTAATCTGCCTTCTTATTCCTGTGAACCTGTGGAAGACCTCCAACTTCTCTTAGGATGGTTGTACCTTTCTTTTTCATCCTCTTTTCCCAATTTCTACTAACAATTTCTTCTTACAATGGTCCATTCAAAAGGATCACCACAGACATTTGAGATACAAGCCAAAAGACCGATGTGATTCCTGCTGCCTGTTCCCAGAAACATCTGAGGATACTTCAAGCCTAACATCTAACAATTCTCACTGGCAGCACTGGGAGACAGTGGGTTTGTAATCTGCTCTAAGCATTAACCTGTATTTTTCTTGTTTCTATAAAAGTACCTCCTATTAATGATGTGCTGGCTTACTAAACAAAACAGAGTCAATATAATGAGTATACACCACCTGTACACAGTTGAGGCCTTAAATGACTCTCAAAATAACATTATATTACTAAATATTAAATAAGTCAAATACAGAAATCAGTTCTACAAAACAGAATAGCATTAGATGTTTTAAGTGCTGCACAAGGTGGAACTTAAACTCTCATAACAA